TGCTTACCCGGGTCCCCTTGGCCCTGATCGATTCACCCAGCTAGACCCCGGGAAGGTTTCGGCTCGACACGATGGACGAGGAGCTTTTCCTCGGCATCATTAAACGTAACTTACAACCTATGCGCCGCACTATAAGCAACATCCAAGACCCACAGTCTTTAGATCTCCTAGCATAATAGCTTACGGACTGTCTTATTAAAGCACTCACGGCTTCCACAAAGCGCACGCTCGGGAAAGGTATAGGGAGACCATACTAGAGCGAGAGCTGCATACGTAAATACCGAGCCTATGCGAGTAAGCGAGCGATATTAGCAAGACTCCGCACAGCCGGAGTGAACTACTAATGGGAAGAAGAGGAGGTCGAAGCTTTAAAATAGGACTTCCTCTATGAGTTTAAACGCTCCAAGGATGCCTTTTGGAAAGATAAGATCTCCTCAGCCTCCTTAAGTAAAGATATATTTGAAATAGTCGGTTAGTATAAAGCCACAGGATCCTTTCAGACCCTGCCACTCCGAGATGTAGATAACCAAGATACGCTTGTTTTATAACTAAAAGAGAAGCGCGACTTATTTACCCGCGTCCTCCTTAGAAACGCTGCAATCTCCGAGGACATACCAACAGAAAGCCCAGTCCTACAAAGGCAAGCTACGCTTCCTTTCCCGCAGGTTACGAAGGACGAGGTACGGTCTTCGGTTCTCACCGCGGGAAACACGACTCCTGGGACCGACGGAATCACTACGACTACTTTAAAAATAGCATAGCTAGTTATTGAGGATATTATCCTCTCACTTTATAGCGGGTATATACGCGAGGGTTAGCATCCTACTTATTTTAAAGAAGCAACTCTCGTGATCCTAGCAAAACCGGGAAAAAGAGATAAGACACTCCCGCGCTCCTATAGGCTAATTGCGCTCTTAGCCGTCCTTGGAAAAGGCTTAGAGAGACTCACCGCCAGACGACTTGCCTAGATCGTAGTTAAATATCGTGTTCTGCACGATCAATAGTTTAGAGCACTCCCTCTTCGCTCTTGTAGCGACCTTATCGCAGCGGCCATCCACGATATCGAGTGCGCCTAGTAAAGAGGCCTAGTTACCTCTATGCTTATACTCAATATAAAAGGGGCTTTCGACGCCGTGCTCCTAGGACGACTAGTCCGACGCCTCTACGAACAAGGATGGCCGGAGAACTTTGTACGCTAGGTCTTAAGTTTTGTTACCGGAAGGAGAGCAAGAATAAGGCTTGATAGGGAGGTAGGAGACGTCTTCGGTCTCGAATACGGACTATTACAAGGCTTACCCGTGTCTCCCATTCTATTCATGCTCTATATTAAACCTCTTTTCAAGCTAGGCATAGCTCGCCTAAGAAAGAAGCGATCTCGTTTCGGCTACGCCGATAACGTCGCTATCTTAGCAAGCTTAACATTACTAGAGAACAACTATGATATCCTAACTAAAGAATAGAAAGAAACCTTAGGATAGGGCGCGACGGAAAGAATCACTTTTAACCTCGATAAGTCCGAACTAATCTACTTTACTAAGAGACAAAAAGACGGAAACCCATCAATCATAGTAGGTTTGCCGGATAGGAGGTATTATACAGTTTAGGCTATCAAAGAAGGCTCTTCTCTACGCTGGCTCGGCATTCACTTCGACCATAAACTCACATTTAAAAGTTACATAAGAAACCTCTCTACAAAAGCATACTAAGTAGTTAATGGACTACAGGGACTAGGGAATACTATCTAGGGCGCGCCTACGTACTTACTTCGTCGAGCGATTACCTCTTATATATTACCCACTCAGTACTATATATCTAAAGTATAGTGGCCCGGTAAGAGCCGGATAAAGAATGGACGTACCATCTCAAACGGGGTTAGTAATCTGCTATACCAACTAGACGCGATGCAAACCAAAGCCATCAGAACGATGGTCCCCGTATACAGAACTACGCCTATACCGATCCTATAGCGCGAGGCGGCTCTACCCCCAGCAGAGGTGATACTGGACGCGAAGCTCCACACAGCGTCCACCAGAATCCATCGTCTGGACGAGCGACACCCTCTCCGAACGATACTCAGGGACAAATCAGGACTAGACTCACGGCTACGACGAATAGCAAGCCTCGTAAGCAAAAATACCGAATACATCGATCCGTTAGAACTCCCCCCTTAGGAGCAACTAGCGGACTGGCAGACAGCTCTCGCCAGGGTCGGCTACGAACCTAATAAGACCAAAGAAGAACAGGCCCTCTCCTTTACAGGCAGGATGGCAACTTTCTCCAAGCGGGACATTATTGTCTATACTAACGGGGCCTAGATATCGGACGGCAGCAGTACCTCCGCCGGAGCAGGCTAGGTAGGGTACCAAGCTATACGGTAGATCTTCTGCGGATCCGAACTACTCGGCTCCTAAACTGAGGTATATAATACGGAGGCATATACTGCGTATTACGGCCTGATGGAAGCTACCCGGGCTCCTACGGCTCGTATAGTAGATAACGTCTATATCTACCTCGACAACCTCGCATTCGCGGCTAGACTATACTCCCAGAGCATAGGAAGCAGCCAGGCTAGATTAGGGCCTTCAATAGGCTCTCTTCCTCCTGGACTCGGAGACAAAGAGAGAGCTGGATAACCCCCGGCAGGGTTTATATTTGGTGGTGCCCTGGGCACACGGGAGTACCAGGAAATGAAGAAGCGGATGCTCTAGCCAAGGAAGCCTGCAAACTAATCCCAAAATCACAACCACAGCCCTCATTAGCGCACCTAGAAAGGCAAGCTAAAGCAGCTGCCTTCCAAGCCTTTGCCAGAAAATGGCTGTCCCAATACCCTCGGCAATATGCCGACCTCGAGATAATTCTTCACCCCAAGCCGCCCGAACTCCGCCTCCCTCGGCACTTACTAGGAAGGCTATACGCAGCAAGATCCCATCATGGAGACTTTATAATATACCACGAGAGATTCGCTTATCAAGATACGTTGCTCAACTACAGCTGTAGGAAACCCAAGACACCAGTCCATTTCTACTTCTATAAGCGTAGACGCAAGGCTACACCGCGCTACCTCCGCTAACGCATAGCTAAAGCAAGCATTGATTTCTTATTAGGTTCTACTAAGGGAGCCTCTCTTCTATGCGAATAGATAGAGGAGACCAATTTCTTTTCCGAAATTTGCCCGAGTCATTAAACAGGAACGTTAGGTAAAGACGGTAGCCTGTAATATAGTTTAGATTAGTATAGACCATGTCGGCATTGCGCCCGGCACGTCCTTTTGTTACCAGACGTTAAATACATCATCATCATCATCATCATCTTGTCCTCTGCATATATGGTGCGCTGTAGCCGCCGCGAGCCTGCGGGGCAGGCCTTGTTCTTGGTCATGCATGTTGGGTCGTAACACAATGCCTACTTAGTATGCTGTCGAGGCAGTGACGTCTGCGCCCGCATCACCTGAGCACATGCTAGGCAACTGTCATATTGAAGACTAGAAGATCTTTCAACTGACTACTCTATGGCAAATGTTTTGGATCAACAGATTAATGTCTTTCCGACATTTAGATTTGCCTAGTATTTGAGGCAGTACTATGAATTACGTGTACCACCAAGTGTCGAATGAGGCTCTTCCCATTGGCAACGGGAAAAGCCCACACAAGGTGAAAAGCCGTCTACGTGGATTTGGGAAGGATGGAAGCAGGACTCGAGCTCCCTGCGTTACTTCTATTACCTATTTCATGAAGAAAGACCTGGACAAGAATGATCTAGCGAGGACTATGAGGTATAAACAGAGCAGAGTTACCCTCCACAGGTGACAGATCCAAACGGCCTGGTGAATCAGGTCGGCTCAATACGCTAGCAATGTGTCCGTACCTCCGTCCATTTAGCTACTTGCATCGAGGCTTATATGGAACTATGGTTCAGATAGTGGTTCATATCTACTGGTAGCAAACCCTACTACATCTAGGCTCGTTCTAACTTCAATTCGACATGGTTCCTGGCAGCATGCATCCCGATTGTTGCTGTTTCGATCGCATACCAGACCCAAGGTTCCACAGGTCACCAAGGCTTTGAGGAACAGGTCTTCTACTTAGATATGCGAAGCCTTTCCAGCGACATGGTACCCATAGCACTAATATCAGTCTGTATCGGTAGAATGCCATCGGTAAGTACGACTGTTATCCCATTAACTGCTAGATGGCGTCACTACATCCGTCTCCAGTCTTTCTTTGAGTTTGATCTATTTCGAGATTATTCATAGGCGGATATAAGGGAAATAAAGTAAAATTAGAGAAATACTAGAGACGGCTATAGTGAAGCTATCTAGCAGTTGATGGGATAGTAGCCGTTATGAATATGCGCCGAAAAGTTAGCACCCTAACACGTTGCGTTTGGTGGCGTGAGCCCACTCTCACCACAGTTTCCAGCCAGATTAAACTGATTACAGGTATCATTGCTGAGTTCCGATCATCGACTTGCTTTGAATTTGTCTAAACCCCACACATATACAGCAAGTTGCGAAACTATAGTGAGATGAAGGCTCCTAAGAACTGACAACGTGACTATGAGTTCTCTATGCAGAAGGTTTGAGAGTATAGTATTGGTCACTACCTGCCGTCCTTCACTGTAGGTTTCACAAGTACACTTCACTATGAGCTCAGATCCGATGAACATGCGAGGAACGGCAGAATACTTCAGTCAAGTCGTATTAGTTTCGTTGCGTAATGAGTCCACTCCGTCGTGTCAAGTTCGAGCTCGACCACTAGTGTGGTCTGAGGTGGGTAGAAGAAAAGTTTCATGTCTGGGGATCAGACGCGTGGAACATGTTCGAGCCGCATCCCTGCTGACTGGATGTGCGTTTCACGACTCCGCATGCTCGATATCATAAGACGACAGACAGTCCACCCAACTTTCTTTCAGACTTTCTGGTTCTCGGTCAAACAAAATCTTGCAAATAATCGCCATTCCAATGCATCGCCGTTCCAATGCATCGCCATACCCTTGCAGTCTTGTTGAGCAGTGCCCTGGTGGCATGGGCCAAGACGCCCGAGGGCTTTGAGCCTGCGTCCAACGTCGATCTCATCGTCGCATACGGTGAGACGTCGGGTGTCAACGGCGTGGACCTGGCCAAGAGCCGTGAGTAATTATTCGCTGCGTGGAAAGACAAAAGGCTGATCCTCTACTCTAGTCACACAAACGGAGCCTACAGTCGGTACGACCGAGCCTTTGACCGGCAAAAGCTATGCCATCATCATGGTCGACATCGATATTCCTACGGCGAGCCCTCCGACTACCGGCACCTTCTTGCACTGGGCTCAGTCGGACCTGACGCCAGCCGCGCAGACTACCACGGTCAAGTTGAACGACGGCGAGCGTGTCATCCACACTCTGACGACCACCTCAAATGCGATCGCGGATTACAAGGGCCCCGCACCACCAGCAAGAGTTCCTCTTTCGCACCGATATATCGAGCTGCTTGTTGACACCAGCGACATCACGGCGGACGGAACTGCAGCCCTGCAGACGCTGTCAACTCGTGGGGGCGTTGATGTCAACGCCGTGCTCACCACGGCCGGACTGGCCAATAAGGTGGTGGCTGGTAACTTCTTTACCGTGACCAACCCCGGCCCTGCAGCGAACGCGAAGAAGAGCAACTCCACCACCACAGCTCCCACCGGTGCTGTGACACCGTCCAAGATTCCTTCCGGCATCTCTTCAGGAATCAAGTCATCGAGTCTTTCAAACACTGTGTTGATGGGTGCAATGGCAGTCGGTCTCGTGGGCGCATTCGCTAGCTCATTCTAAGCAAGGGTTCGAGCCTCTCAACGACATGTGTCGTTAAGTACCGTCCTCCAGAAGATTGACTCTTCTGACACCGGCTTTTCCATAATGAGAACGCGCGGCGCAGGATCCGCGTCTTGTTTCTGAACGGTTTGTCGTCTCAAGTAATCAATACAATAATATAAGCTCAGTTTCATCTCATGTTGAAGCACTCATCCCCTGTTTCACAACGGTCATGACAGTGACACTGCGACCATGAGAGCATAGACGGCCGTGGGTGGCCGAAAATGCCGGACGGACACGGCCTGATCACTGGTCTTAGGTTTACTCCCTCACTGGTCAACAAAACTTCAGAGCCTTTTAAACTCGGGCAGAGGTTTTGCGGGTCTCTATGAGTAACTGGCACCTAATACGTACAAATCTTATACCTTGGTTGTCAGAGACTTGGCTTGTAATCATGGAATGCATGCCGCCTAAGACTGTTTTGAGTGAAATGAGGGAGATCAAATCAAAGATACAGCATCCCTAAGCCCAGACTGCATGGCAACAGGATATCTCAACCCAATGACGAGGCAAGAAACGAGTCACAAGGCACACAACCATAGTCTTTCTGAGTCCTCGGTGCTGCACATAGAGCTCAAAACGAGAGAGGTGGTGTTGTCGCCCCACTGTGACTGGCAGATCAATGCCAACAGGCAGGTTACTCGCATTAGTATTGCCACAGCTCATTACCTGCAAGATTTACTAGATCGTCTTTATCAATCAGAGTGCCAGGTGGATGACAAAATATTATGCCGGCAAACACAAAAGCAACTCCTCATTCCTATCACATCTACCTTCGTTACTATCCCTTTCCTAGGCTGCTTAAAGTATATTATTACTAGAATATACAAGTGGTAAAAGTTCAAGATACTCAAAAAAAAAAAAAAACCGGTGATAATTATGGTAGTGGGAATGAAATCTAAAGGTGCATCAGGCTATCAGCGGCAAATCATTCTGTCATCCACTTGAGTGCCGTATGTACATGAGGTTTTGCCCTGAGAAGATCGCATCGCTTATGATGCCTGAAGGGAAATTTCCTGTAGCTTATACGGGGTTTGCCTCCTCTTAGCGGAGCCAATGGAGTTGACAGCAATTACGGCGACTGCAGTCAGCTTGACCATTAATGAACCACACCACGTCACTTCTAGGTCGCCAGTATCTCGACCCAGCTGCGGTTCAGCAAATGCTTCCCTCCTCAGATACCCAAATACAGATAGCCGCTTGGATTGGATAGAAGTGGCTTCCAAGACGTTGCATCAAAGCCCTTGGCAACAGTGACAAGGCAATAAGAGCCACATACTTTGAACCGCATGATTTACCTGCAGTGTGTTTTACTCCCTCGTCTCGTCGTATCGAGTCAAATCGCAAAACTGGTGCAACCCTCACAACAGTTCAGGCTCTTTTTCCTCATCAAGTTGTCTCGAAACCACGTCAGCTTGCAGGAAACACTTTGTGCAAGTGATCCATTATGGCGAACTTACACACCGAGCTCTGTATATCCATTTCCATAACAGGCAAACAGGTAACCACTTCAACAACAAGCGGCAAGATGATGTCCGATAGCCTACTTATACGTTTCTCGGCCCGGTGCCCGGCAAAGATCATCCAAAAAACCACTTTTCTACGATTCAGTTGCCGAACCTGGCAACATCCGATTGACTCAGGGAAACATGCAGTCAGCGTTGCACAATCACGTCAATCTTTCTCCGCTGCAGCAAGATGACCGACGGGCCAAGACAAGGGATGGGACGGGACGCGATTGCAAGGGAACGATTCGAACCCCACTCCTTGACAGGCATGCGCCAAGTAGGCTTCTTAGACCGAGCAAGGCAGATCCGATGTGCAAAGCCTGATGGACTATCGGCAGTTGTTATTAGGCCTTGTGGATGAAGCTTCCGATTACACGTATTTGCCTCTCTAAAGGAAATATTTAAGGCTGAGATTGGATCCTCCGTGATCCTTCATTGTCGATATGTTCTAATCAGTTCATGCCAGAACACTCGCCATGACCGTGACAATAATTGATCTGCCCGTGCTGGGTAGCTACCCATCACTCATTTGGATCATCCCAGCGGTGTTCCTCGCATTCAAAATCCTCACCTTTGGTAGTAGAGAGAAACATCTTCCGCCCGGTCCACCAACTCTTCCCATCCTTGGAAATGCTCATCTGATTCCCTCGAAAGGCATGTACAGCAAGTAAGTAAATTGGCTCATGGTAGTTATCGTTCTCGCTAACTAAAGACAGATTCAAAGAATGGGCCGATCAGTATGGATCGATCTACTCTCTCAAGGTCGGGCAAAGTACCATGATTGTGCTTAACGACAGACATGCCGTTCACGAACTTTTGACATCAAAAGGGGCCTATTACAACGATAGACCCATTGATCAGCAGTATGACCTCACCATGCGTCAAGAGAACACTGCTTTGATGCATGATGGTCCTAAGTGGAGAGCACAACGGAAGATTGCAGCCACATACTTCTCTCCAAAGAATCTCGACGGCACACTGAGGGAAGTACAAGAGTCTGAGTGAGTTTCAGTCACAACTGCGAAACGGTTGCATGTAGCCTCTAGAATGATTGCGTCTAATTTAAGCAGGATTTCTGTCTTGATGCACGATCTACTGAAGAGGCCTGATGGGTTTATGGAGAGTGTGAAACGAACCACTGCTTCTATCGCAACTGTCACAATTTTCGGCCAGCGTGCTCCCAGTTGGGAGAGCTTCTGGTCATATGCAAGTTATTCCACCTTGAATCAGGTATATCATCTCACAAGAGCTAATACAAACTAGGCGGTTTACATTGCCATGGATGGGGTAAGATTTTCTACCATAGATTTTCCTGAAACTTGGAAAGAAGTTAGCTGATCTTGTGAAGGTTTCGACCGTTCTCGAGCCCGGCTCTTACCTACCTGTGGAGCAGTTCCCAATTCTTCAATGGATCCCGGATCGTTTATCCAAGTCCAGGCAACAAGGGAAGGAATTATACCATACTGTCACAAACATCTGGACCAAGGCTCGCCAAGACGTGGAACTGCGGCGTAGCAAGGGTATCAGGAGAGAATCTCTCATTGATAAACTGTTCGACGAGGAGATGAAGTGCGATGTGCCACTCAGTGACACAGAATTCAATAATTTCCTTGGGGGCCTACAGATGGCAGCTGCCGATACGACAGCCACGGCAACACTCAGCAACATCATGCTCCTTGCGAAGCACCCCGAGGCCCAGGAGAAAGCAAGAGTCGAACTCGACAGAGTCTGTGGTGTGGAGAGGTTTCCCAATTGGACCGACTTCAAGGACTTGCCGTACATTAATTGTATTGTAAAGGAGGGATTACGGCTGAAACCAGTGTAAGCAATCCGATCAAACCCTCCAGATATGGTGCTAATATTAGGCTGTGTACCTAGAGCACCTACCGGCATACCTCATGCAGCCAAGGAAGACCGATGGTACGGTGACATGTTCATCCCAGCTGGCTCTTCCATCTTCATACCAGTATACGCACTCAACCATAATAGCGACTCGTCGCTGGACCCTTTTACATACAACCCGGACCGTTATATCCCAGTTGCCGATAAACTCGCACCTGAACTCGCCGCTTCACCCAAGTACGAAGAGCGTGATCACTACTCGTACGGTGCAGGGCGGCGTATGTGCGTTGGTCTACATCTTGCCGAGAGATCCCAATGGCGCATGGTAGCTCAGATACTCTGGGCGTTCAAGATTGAGCCCGCAATTGGGCCCGATGGAAAGGAGGTTGAACTAGATTCGAGCCCTGAAGGATACGTGGAGGGGTTCTTGCACACTCCTAAGAAATACAAGGTGAAGTTTGTGCCGAGAAGCAAGAAGCATGTCGAGGTCATCCAACAGAGTTTCGGCGCGGCTGCGGAGTTTCTGAAACAATGGGAGTGAGTACTGGGGGTCTGCACAGTCATATTCTTAGTATGACTGAAGATCTTCGACGCCGTACGGAGGCTTGATCTAAGTCCGAACAAGGCCTGGCAGACTGTTGGGGACGGCAACAAAGGCAGCAGCAAGTACGAGTGAAATTTGTGTACTCAGAGACCATTTTCATCCTCATTACTCTTTTCTTCTTTTTCGTCGCCTGAAGTCTTCTACCACTTATTCTGTACGATACAATGAACACCCTAGTGATTGCCTCAAACTTTCAGTTACCCTTTAGCTCCCGATCGATGGGGATAGGCCTTTCCAGGTGTCTCAACCACTTCGGCCGCGTTCTTTTGAACGATGTACCCGACTTCAGTTGTAGATCCTCAATGGCACTAGCCCATCGCACAAGTTCTCCTTCAGCAAATGCAGTCTGCATGATTCCCAGCCCAAAGGGCATGCCAGTATCGGTATATATTCCTGCGGGGATTGTGATCATTGGATATCCAGCCTGCGCCGCGATCTGGTAAGTCTGGGCTACTGATACAGGCACAAGCAAGCCTGGAAGCCGAGTTCCATTGTAGCTTAGTGCACCGTCGATGCCGACACGTGTGGTGGTCTGCATGTAGTCAAGAGCCTTCCAGTAAGTGTCATTCTGGTCTCCTTGAGTCTCATTAGACATGAGAAAGCCATCTTGACCGGAACGAAAAGCTGGAAGGCCATGGTAAGCCTTATAACGTCCAGACATTGTGTAGCTCCCATTGAAGGGGTAACCCCCTTCGATTCCGTCATTGTCATAACGTTAGTTGAACTTGATAATATCTTCAAGTGATCGAATTTTCGTATTCTGAAGTCCAGACATGTATTTCTTGATGTTGTTGTAGAAGTCGACCAAAACGACGGTATACTCTGACTTTTTCAGGGTGACCTATCTTGCCTTGCCAATTCCAATCCCAGCCTGTTTTGTTCACGACCTTCTCATGATCGGTAATCTCAGTGAAGTTAACGATGGTGCCGCCATTTTCCTGGATCAGAGTTATCAGGCCGTCAAGCTGTGCCTTGGTTTCTGCGTTGGAGATGTTCCAAAAGCTGTACCATGGAGTTCCGAATGTTGCGTTGCACAGACTAGTCTTGTTGGTGAGGAACTGCGCGTATCCTCCCGATGGTGGCGTTTTTCCGCACTGGGCATCGGTGTAGTTGTCTCTTGGATCGATGCCGTAGATGGCATCAAGGGCGTAGACGGTGTCTTGGACAGTTCGGCCGAAAGTTCCAACCGTGTCTTGGTGTTCGCACTCTGATATGACTCTATGTAAGATTACATATGTTAATTGAGTCTTCTCCGCAAGTGGGCTCAGTTATTAAGTGGTGTATGGCCGACGTACCCGTCTCGTGAAGTCAGTCCGACAGTCGGCTTGATGCCTACTACGCCGTTCTTATGGGCAGGGCTAATGACTGACACCGAGTCAGCAGTGTCTATATGGTGTGAATGAAACAAAGTCTTACCACTGCCGTCCGTTTCTGTACCGAGAGAAAAGGCGATCGCATTGGCAGCTGCTCCTACTACAATCCCAGAGCTACTTCCCATGGGATTAAATACCAGATTGTAAGGACTTCGTGGCTGCCCGCCCCTTGGGGAGTAGCCCTCTGCCCACTCGCTCATCGTGGATTTTCCAAATAGCACAGCTCCTGCAGCTCTTAAACGAGCAACAACGAAGGCGTCGCGGGGGACGATACTTCCAAGCAGCGCATAACTCCCGGCAGTTGTTTCCATACTGTCCTTCGTCGCGATGTTGTCTTTGACAGTAAAGGGGATTCCATGGAGCGGACCGAGAACTTGGCCTGCCTTTCGTTGTTTGTCCCTCTCGGCCGCGATTGTCATGACGTCCGGATTCAATTGCATGACGGAACTGTTGGAGTGAAAGGTAAGTTAGTAAGCTTCATCTGGAGAGTCAGCACAAGGGATGGAATCTCACCTGATGTACTCCTGAGTCTGGAAAGTCCGCTGCATGTAACACATGACCAATTGCTGAGAAGTCAAGATGCCATCCGTCATGGCCTTCTGCATCTGGTCGATGGTCGCTTCTTCTAACTTGAAGGTGCCCGCGCAAACCGGCATGGGGAAAAGTTTCGTGGTGTTTTCATTCTGCAGGAGTGGGAATAAAGGAGTCGCCAAGCTGTTGCTGGCCACAAGTTGGCTAATGGCCGGAGACACAAAGTTTGCCAGCACCAACAACGATCTGAGATGATGCCAAGCTGGTAATCTCGAGGATGTTCCAGATAGACGCATCGTTTACCAAGGCTGATCTGGCAGGATAAGAGTTGACTGAAAGTTTGTTGAGGGGAAAGGGCCAAGTGCGAGAAATTGTCAATAGTTCTTGTGCGTGGAACCGGTGTTTTTGATAGCAAGGGTGGAAGGTGGAACCTCGAATTGCGTCGAGACTCGCAGTTTTATAAGACGAGTTGAAGCCAGAAGACCTTTGCTTCGGCCAACATGCGTGTCGATGGAGAGTTTGCGATGTGTCAGTATGCCGCTTTTTTGCCAGCCGTTTCTCTTCAGCAAAGTATGATTTCTGAGACATACGTGCTTGTGGCTAGTCCTCGCTCAATAGGGTGGGCTGATTCACGCGTTAGCTGCATTCGAAGAACCCTTGGTGGGCTGGCTGAATGACTAAGTCAGACTTGCTAGTCCACGGCTGTCTCACACAGTAGTTGTCTGCAGCCTAACTCATACTCTGTGTTAGTTAGAACACATTGAATGCATCCGCTGAATCGTGAGACCACTTCTGGTTCTTGATGAAGCTAAGCGTGTTGATTTCGAACAGTCTGTTTCCCTGATGACTCGTATGCACCTCAACTTGTCAAATCTTATGCATCATACATGCACTTATGAGAAAACATTGCGATGTAAGGCTGGGGCCGGGGCTTCCCGCGGATGAATTCCAGTGCCGGTTCTATGAGAGTGGTGTCTCCAATACTTTCAACGTAATCGACCTTAATTGAAGTAACGTAATTCACAAGAGTTCAATCACAGATTCCAGTGAGCCCGGAAAGAATCTAGATATCAAGTTGCTGAAGTTCATACATACTTACCCACATATGCATGACTGTGGCCGTTCGTATGCTGATAATGCTTAGTGTATCCTCGATTATTCGACGCGGACTTACATTGCAACTTTCGGCTTGTCTGAAGAGCTCTTTTAAAAGTTGTGCTCAGTGCTCTAGTCTGCATTGGGGAATTGGCGCTTTATCTCTATGTGGTTCCCCATGGGCTCGTCTATTGTCGTAGGGTATATATGGCGTTAATTGCTGCCCGTAATTAACGGCGTCGTTTTTGCGACATCTATGGATACACCGTCAGATAGGAAGAAATACTTATTCACTAGAAAATCTACCGCAAATCTATCATCAGGTTTCCGCACCATCACTATATAAAGTACTTCAGTTTCATGTACCGCGTTCCCGTACCATATCCAGAACTTGCCGGGAGACACTGTAATCAAGAAAGGTAGTTGTAGTCCTGATTGCAATACTAGTCGCAGAAAGAAAGAAGTTGACAGAATCCATTGAGCGGCAGACAACCCGTTCTTTCACCTACTTGATGGCCCCGTAGAATAAGTCGTATTGAAGTGGTTTAAGTCACTCTGAAAAATCCCCCAAAAATGGTTGACGGACATATCGAAGCCCCCGTTCCATCTTAACTTTGCCGATCATTCCCCGAGAGTTCTTAACGGTCAGCAGTTGATGGGACGTTGCACCACGAGCATCCTTGTCGTCAGCAACTCTAGTCTGAACTTAGCACGGCAAATTAGCGGTCAATCGACCTCTCAGAATCGGGAAACCGGACGATCTGCTTTATGCGCTCCATCAAGATTACAACCCACGTCGCAAGTCTTCACCTTACAGGTCCGCGATGCCGTCGGGTGCCACACCATCTTCTACGGTGCCCCGCAGCGGGCTCTAGACTGGAGACTGACCGTTGAAGGACAGCGTTGCTTTCTTCTTTTTCTTCTGATCTTCCTTCGTTTCTCCACGAGGCGTTACCGAGTACCCGGATCACCTTACACTCCCGACTCAAACTCATCAAAGCTTTTTGTTCTATTGATCTGGTCCTTTAAGCTCTGTCATTACTCCCGACGAAAGGAAAATGGCGGAACCAACTCCGACTCCTGCCGCTTCGACTCCGGCTAGCCCCCAGACTGGAGCCGTAGCTGAGCCCGAGCCCGAGCGGCCCGCTCCCGAAGTGGAGGTAGAAGTCGATCGGGAAGAAAATGACTCGTCTTGGGGCGACGATGAGGCTTCTCGTGCCAGCACCTCGCTCAAGTCAGTCACGTCAACTTACGAATGGAAGCACGGTCGCCGGTACCATGGCTATCAATCCGGTTCCTACAATTTTCCCAACGACGAGGAGGAACAGGACCGGCTTGATATGATCCATCACGTTTTCTTCAGGCTGATGAATGATCGCTTGTACCTTGCGCCAATCAAGACCGAGGGGCTGAAGGTCCTCGATATCGGCACCGGCACAGGGATTTGGCCCATTCAGTTTGGAGATGAGCACCCCGAGGCAGAGGTGATTGTTGGGAACGACCTCAGTCCCATCCAGCCGCAATGGGTGCCACCGAACGTCAAGTTCATCATCGACGACGTCGAGCTTGACTGGGCGGAGCCTGAGCAATACGACTACATTCACTGCCGCTACATGGCAGGTTCCATCAAGGACTGGCCTCGGCTGGTAAACCAGATCTACGAGAACCTGAAACCCGGAGGCTGGGTCGAGTTCCAGGAATCTGCAAACACTCTATACTCTGAGGATGGCTCACTCAAGCCTGACAACGCCATGGTCCAAATGATGGACGGACTCATGGAGGCCTGTGAGAAGATCGGAAGAACAATGGACCCGGCACCATCCTTCAAGCGTTGGACCGAACAAGCCGGCTTCCAGAAGGTGGGCGAGCAGAGATTTAAGCTTCCCATTGGCAGCTGGCCTAAAGACGCTAGGTTGAAGGAGGTCGGCACGCTTATGGGAGTAAATTTCCTGGAAGGGGTGGAAGCTTTCACTGCTGCGTTGTTCAAGGACGTTTTGGGATGGTCCCCGGAGGAAGTCACCGTCCTCAATGCTGGGGTTCGAGCGGCAGTATGGAAGAGAGACGTTCACCCCATCTTCGACTTCGTTGTCGTCACTGGGCTGAAGCCTTTGTAAGTTTTAGGGCAATGATCAACAATCTTTAGTCAACTGGGTGGCCTCTTTTCGGCATTTGCAGCTTCGGGTGGAGTATCTCGAGTTATCATAGCAAAGCGCGTTATCTAAAGTTCCTCCTTCTGTGGTGTTGCCTCCATAACATCTTCGATATGATCCGAAGCCTCCTCATAGGCATCCACGTGAGCCTTTGAGAAGTCTCTGGCCGGAGTCTCTCTAGCAAACAACATGTCCAACTCCTCGTACGTACGGCCTTTACACTCAGGCAGGCGAAAGTACGACCAAACGAAGATGATTCCGGCAGTACCCGCCCAGAAGAAGCCGGCCTTGCCTCTTAGATTCCACTCCGTAGGGTTCCTTGACGTCGATTAGCATCCGTTTTCAAGATTTTCTTCAGTTACAAGGAGGTAGTGCTCACATCATGTAAGTCTGGAGGACTTGAGAGACTATATTGACAATCTGGTAGGCATTTCGTGATAACACGACTGTCAATGGGCGAAGCCGAACCGAGGAAGTCTCACTGATGACGCTGTACTGTTGCGTTTATTAGGACCTCTCTGTCTACATGTACCTGCAAAGTAACAGGCAAGATGACGGGGTTTAGAAACTTGAGTCCTGGTGACTTACAGTAATAGGTCCAATAGTTAGAGACTGAAAATGTCAGCTTCGCCCCTTGACTTTGGTATTTCAGATGCATTAGGAGTTTTTACTCACGTAGATGAATAGCCAGAAGACACAAAGACCACCAGACGGCCAAAGGCCCTTCTCGCCAGCAGATACATCAAGAATGCCTATGATGAACAGGATGACGGTAAGAGCTCCAATCCCGGTAACGTACATGGCGCGACGACCCCAATTAGTAATGAGCCACCATGATCTTAACGGTTAAAGTCAGCTTGATCATCGTCATTTAATGATTCAGACAGAAGGTTCTTACAAAACGGTTCCAAGAAAGGCCATGCCCTTTGCTCCTAGACTCAGTTCGAACGCATTCGCTGTGTTCATTCCCGCGGTAGTAAAGAAGTATGTCGGGGTGTAAGCGAAGCTGCTGCCAGACATGACTTGCCCCGCAAACGCTACGCAGCAAATTTCCGTGCGTCGACGATCAATACCCTTGAAACAATCAAGGTATGTCACACCGCTGGTCACTCCCGATTCGACTTTGGTTGTGTGAACCATCATTGCCAATTGAGCGTTGATTTGGTCTTGAGTCTTGTCACCGCTGAGTCTCTCGATGGACCGTCTAGCGTTTTCAAGGCGATCTTTCCGGACTAGATACCACGGACTTTCGGGTGCGAGATAGGAAACAACCATCAGAGGAACTGGCCAGAGCTTGTTCCGGGTGTTCTGTCAGGCGATGCAGCTCAAAGGCTAGAAGATAGCCACTCGGGGCAAACTTACCCATTGAATTGCGAAAGGGATCCGGTAGGCCATCTCGCCCTCAATGCTAAGACACCCACGGAGAACACCAGCAGCAATAAGCTGGCCAGTTGCCCAGCAAAGATTCACCTGAGTTGGTTTAGTTGTAACACCTCATAGTAGCCTGGAGACAACGCACATATGTAGTCATGTAACCGCGAAGATTGGTAGGACAGACTTCGGAGGCTAGGGCATGACTAGTCAGTAGGGGGCAAGAAAGCAAATATCATAGATGAGATTCACCGTAAGCTGGACTGAGTGTCGCAAAAACACCCCAAGAAAGGCCGCAGAGAATTTGGCCAACTAGAAGCATGGCGGCAGAGTGTGCAAAGAACACGACGAAGATAAAGCAATTCAGGAAGAACATGGCACCAATCATGACCCATCGATAGCCATATTTGGACGCAAAGTATCCGTTCATCGACCCGCCTGGTCGATGTTAGTTGCTAGTCAATTTGGAAAGCCGAATGCATGCGCTTACCAAAGATGGCACCGACCGTGGAAGCCATCGTCAGACCTGTTTGCCACGGCCCAGAGACTTGATAACCAATTTCTTCGCCATACCAACTACCATATTTCTTTTGGAACTCCGGATAGGCAAAGAAGTTGTTGATCAGGATGACATCGTATCTAGAGGAATCACTGATTAGCACGTGCCTCGGGATAATGAGTAAGGTAGTCAAAGCAGGAAAGTCTTTACCCTTCCATCACAATGGACATGGAGATCATGATAGACCAAAAGACAGCCTTGCGGTTCTGGCTGAGTGCCTGACGAAGTGTCTGCGCATGCTCCTCGTCCGAAGCTTGCTTGGCTTCGTAAATGGCCGACTGCCCAAGCTTTTCTTCCACCTCATTCTCGGCCGCCTTACGCAGATGGCGGACCTCAAAGTCGCTCTTGGAGGCCATTGTGACCGAAAGGTGTTTGGGTCTTATTTAAAATAATTCGATGGAATAATGCTCTAAGTGGCATAGTGGTCAGTTGGGAGCGTCGGATCTGGAACCGAAAGGGTTGCCGGCAGTGGAGGTCTATATAGAGACGCAGTAGACTCACAGTCTAGGATTTCTTCAAATAACCGGCATGCCATTGCATCCGAACCGCTTTCCTAGAAGGTCACCAGGCTAGTAGAAGTATTTGCATTCTAACTGATATATAACTAGGTTCTCAAGTCGCGCGAGTATCAAGAAACATTCGCTCTTCATCCCCCACATGGTTGAGCCACCCCGCAACCCCAGACTAGACTTGCAAAAGTCCGGGGTTGACAGTATGACCTGTAATTGGATGGCAATATGAAATCCCGTACTTGACATGCACAGAGTTGTCGCTGATGAGCGGAAACAAATAAATATCAGGGATCTTCCTAGGGCCAACCTGGAGAAAGCCAGAAACAGCCGGCAACAATGTCTCATAAGCTGGCGTTAAACCAAGACTTTAGGATTGTTCAAGAAGAGGGGGAAGTACGCCAAGACTATTTGGGAGCTGTGGGGAAAGCGGCATTGGCGAGTTACGGTTGGTTGAGTATTTTGGGTGGTTGAAGTTTGCGGAGGATCTCCGCAAGTTGGGAACAGCTTCCATGAAGACCTCGGGAGCATCAAGTTGGAGCGTTGGGGTGATAAACGAGTATCCCACGGGCGATGGAGGGACCTTGCACGGAAAAGGAATATGGATGCAATTCTGGGACCGGATAAGCTCAGAACACCAAGATGATTGCGTACCGAGCGCCTCCGTTGACCCGGACTCATGCAAGCACAGGTCAGCTGTCGTATGGTCACAATGTGGGCATCGAGATTTGTGATAGAGAACGGTTATCTATTAAAAGTAGAGAATAGGTACGAGGCTCGCTCTGAAATAGGTGATGCGAGCGAGTGTGGGCCTCGGTGATTATGTAACCGAGGTCACGTGACGGGCAGAGGCCACAGATGGTTGAAGCCATCACGACATCAGCCGAGTCTGTCTTGTCATATGACGTTCCTTCAATGTGGCTCGATGTCAGATAGGGTTCCAGAGGTTGTCGCCATAGTATCGGATGAGTTACGACGGACTAAAAAGGTCAGCCGCACTATAAAACCATGTCTTTTCCCGGTTTTCCAGGCCGGTTCACATCAGCGTATCAGAACAACAAGCTTGACTCGTGTGAATAGGGTCCATCGAGACAATTCAACCCAGATTTGCTTAAACGAAATCACCCGGCACTGACAGCTTCATTCAATCATCCAGCTGTCGAAGAGAAACTCCATGGGTAAAACAAATAATTTTCTTCCCATGGTCCTAGCTTTGCCTTCTTGCGGCTGCTTCATGCCTCCGATGAAGATAATCTTGGGGAAGACTGCTTTCGAACCTCTCTAGTAAGTCATCGTGTCCTTGCAGCAACGCCTTCACAGTTTCGTGAGTCTCAAAGAGCACCCCTTCAGAGTTTCCAGTAGTGTTTTGTGTGGCAGTATAGAAGCTACTCAGGGCCTGGATAAAGGCCGCATAAACCTCTGGCTCAGTTGTCTCGAAGCGTCGCTGAAATATTGGTTGGGGAAATCAGCACCATCCACATTACCGGCTTGTTAACCAGTACAAGGCGATGACTAACCTTCACATCGTCAATAAAGCTCCAGCTTTCTTGGTACCCTGTGGACCCCGCCTGGTCCTGCGGGGTGACGATCTCGGGAGGTTCTGACATGGAGTGCATTTTGAAAAGGGTTGTTGTTTCTTGTCAACTGAATAATGTCGAAAATTTGGTCTTTAGTCCCGAAGAAAGATTATTCAAAGGCGTTTTTGAGGGGCTCGTTGGGATTTCCCCGACTTTATGTGAGTAACTCCGCTTTCCAAAGATCCTTCTGCTCCGGCCCGGAAATAATAGGTCGTGGCATCGGCCAATACGCGTGGTTTAAGATCGTGGTGACCAACAGGTTTCTTCAAATAGAGCCCTTCCTACCAAAAAATGATGTAATCACCTGTGTGTAACTCGTTGGGGCAAGGTACGCAGCCCGGGGGCACAGCAAAGCGAGATCCACCTCGGTAGTTCTTGATTGAGGGGAACTTCCTGAATTCACGGGGTTCAGGATATTGTGAGCCGAAATGAGTACTAATGTTAGGTCGTTGAACTACGATGTATTGACATTATGCTGCGTTCGCCTCGAGTCGCTCTCAGACAAGCACAAAGACTTCCTCCTCGCCAAATCTTGCTCTAATCTTGTCGTCAGCAGCCTCGGGCATGAGCGGGTCGATAAAACAGTCGCCCAATAACCACCATCCGTCGTCAACCTCTCTAAGAACGAACGGAACCGGACCACCGTATAGCATTACGACAATATCTCCTTCTCTTGCACAGGCTGGCGCTAGTCCATAAAATCCCCCTGATGTCCCAAACACTCGTCGCTGGTCGCAAGCACGAGACGCTGCGACTCTGAACCGGGAGGCGTTTCCATCACTCAACGCTATGTTCAGAGGCTCGAAAGTTGGAGACTCTAGGCCAGAGACTTCTAGTAAGTTGTGTATGTATGTCAGATAGTCTGCATGAAACTGCTCACGGTCGTCAGATGATTCGAGCTCATCGACGCGCTCGTATCCATCAGTAACCCCAGCAGTCAGAGTAAGGGCCATCATCAACACGGACATAAGCGAGTCTTCAAATTGAGACCCTGGATACAACTTTTTTGAAGACGCAAGATTCCATAGATCTATCATTGGGTGAGGTGATACTGCAGTTCCCGTGGATCTTTCCCTGAAGTCTTGAACGTCGAGAGTGCGGGTTAACCAACCAACGGTGTCGAATCTAACACCAGGCACGGATAGTTTGCCGTCCGATGATGGCGTAAAATCTTTCAGTCCTGGAAGGCCATGCCTGTCGCCCTCTTTCCAGGCTGTTAGGGATCGGCTATCAAGGATAGTCGAAACGTCACCACTTACATCCCATCTTGGTACCCAAGAAGGAATATCGGTCCGGTTGTACTCGACTCCATGTTGGACATAGCACAAAGAAGCCAATGACGCGCTGTCTCTGACAGCAGTAATAACAACATCTGCGTAGACCTCCGCCACGCTCTTTCGATAGTCTACGCTAGGGAAAAGCTCGAGATTTTCTGGGCGCATGAGTCCCAGCAGCCCGTAGACCTTGTCCCTCAAGTTCGTGGCATGGTGATCCCGAAAAGCAATGAGTATTTCCAAGAATGTCGATTCTGGTATATCGCTTGTGTCAAACATTGCATGCGCATTGTCAAACGGTATACCTTCGATCTCAGGCGATACATCGTAGTCGTTTGCGAGATGCTGCTCGCTGAGCCAGGCAGCTGTGACCCCCAACTTGACCCAATCTAAGGATCCAGAGCCGACGTAAACTCTGGATGAACGGGCGAGAACGATCTCTTGCACGCACCAAACTCGGGTGAACCAAGGTCGAGACAGCAGCCAAGCAAGTGCTTCCCAATCTTCTGGCTCTGGTTCCGGCTTGCCCAGACGCACGCCAACCGCGGCGATGTTCTCGACAGAGACCCCTGCAAGTCCTTCCATCGCCTCTGTCGCCGGTGTAAAGTGAGCCATATTCAAGAGCTCAATGTTCTTAGCGAGTGCGTGATCGTCGCAAGCCTGATGGATTGTCTCAATCAAAGGTATCGCACGGGGGGCCCGCCCTTCGTCGTCGAGGCCTAGCCAGACCACCACCTTGTCGGCACGGGAATATATCTCTCTCATAAGTTTTACCTGCTCGGCTCTCTCGTCCATGTCGTCTTGGTTGATGCATAGGGCATCTGCCCATATCAACAATGCTCGGTCTGGACGCCGAAAGTGCCGGAGAGCATCGTTAAGGTTCTCAGTAATTGAGACTGGTTGTCCCGAGCAGTCGACCTCTCGGCGCTGTGACGGATCTCCCCAGACATATGACAGGGCCTCGAAAATCGGGGGATCGTCGATACTGGCTTCTTGGAGTCCAATTTGGATCGGGTCAGTGTCAGAACCAGGCTGCAGAACCAAAATCCGGATACACCGGCTAGCCAATCGACTCGAATAAATCGGAGCCAGTATCATGGCAGAGCTGAGAGATTGAGAGAAGCAAAACTTGCTGAGATCTGCACAGAAGGATGAGGCCTTTTGCTGACGGGAGGGAGAGAGTCATGTAGCCGGTGGTGTCATGGGGTCACCCAAGTTAAGTACTAAGCAATTCTACGTGGCACGCTTACCCCCGGCGAAGGATCAGTCTGTAAGCGAGCGCTGCAACTCCGCTCGAATAGCGCGCTTCAGTCCCGAGGTCTCGTTTCCTGAGTACCTACTTGTGTTCAAGTAAGTTGCAGTCGGCAATAAGATCGCGGCATCACGGTTCACGGCCATCCTGTCTGTCAACCCCGTCCAACGCTCGGGTCCACCTTAGGCAACTTGAGCATCTTGGGCATCATATCTGTTGGTCATGCAGGTTAACATGATTCTGGCGACCATCAAAACTTCAAGTAATGGCACGACGCGAATGCGACATGGTGCAACACATCAGGAACATCCAGTGATGATCAAACGCGAAGGACCAAATCGCTCCCCGCACTTCGCAAGAATACTGCCTGATGTGTGTGACTATTTGAGTTCATCTTCGTGGCTTTCTCTTCACAGATCCCCAAAGGACAAGTAGTACAAAGAGGATTCAGAGCTTCGCCATAGCCCGGATGTCCCACGCCACAGCAAAGGTTGCCGCCAGCTCTGGTTTTACGTTCCGAAAGATTCGAACGACAACCTTGGAAGTTTTTCCTGGGATAATGTCCCAGATGACTTTCTCGACGTTATCTGTTGAGGTTAATGTTAGTAAGTTGACAGCCTCTTACTAATACCTGCTGAAGGAGATAGACTTACTAATGTGATCAAACTCCGTGCCCTTTCCCATATTGCCATATCTTTCAGCAACCGCTAACAGAACAAAGATTCAAGTCATTCTGCAATAGCATACCTTGTGGATCTGTATACGCAAGGGTGACAACAAGCCGATTTCGGCCCCTGGGCACGGAAATTTCGGCGTTCTTTTATTGCTTCTCTGGCTCTGGACCCTGGCGCAAAGCGGGCACGTCGAGGGTGGTGATCTTGGGGGCATCGATGCCGTCCGCAAATGTGGAATCCTTGAACATGACAATAGAACTGACAATATCCATACGTCCAAAGCCCTGTTAGTAATCATAGCCCATGCCAAGGCCACGTTTCTCGGAGAAGTTGACAGCATCGTTAACCAGGAGAGCTTTGATCATTGGTGTCCCGATCGTTATTGAGATCTCAGAATTGCGTTTGCCCGATTGTGTCTTTAGGAGACGGCCTTATTGATAAATTTGCACTTGAAGGAATGGATCGGAGTCTCTCCTTTCATCGTTTCCTTTTTCTACCATGCCTGAATCGCGAGAATCTGTTGCCAACTGACTTGAGTGGCATTACCGCGTTTCCGCATCTCTCCCCGACTGGATGAGATTGCTTTTGCGGCTGAGCGCTTAGTTGAGGGAGCAACGATTTTGGTCAGTGGTGTCCACGATATACCAACCAGATACGTTACTGGATTTATCTGATTCTTCGAAACTCTTCCAATCGAGCGAGATGCTTGAAGTCTCCGCTTTTCCATCCCAAGTTGCGGCTGAGATGCTGTCTCATAAATAAATAATCACAGTTCAATAGTGCAGTGTCAATCAGCTAGTCAAGATGTTGTGATTCGCTCAAATCATGCCTCTCGAAGCCAACATGTGGACACAATCTCGGATGATTAGTCGAAGAGCACCGCTATCAAAGCTTTAGCGCCCATCTGAGACATAACACCGGGATCAACGTATAGCTGAACGGGATTGAACTTTCCCGAAAGCGGCAGGGTACCTTCTCACCAGCAACGATATGTGATCGCTGTGAGAGCTATCTAGCTCTTAGCTAAAGCTCTGCCGATCTAAAGCAAGTCACCTAGTTGACTAATCTATATAGATCGTGAACAGTGGTTGGGGAGAGATGAAACAGCCGTACGTGAGCCAATGGCGGCAAAGGCCGTGCCGTCCCGCCCCCGCAACGTCACCGCCGTTTCCCGGCCGAGAACGCCACGCTAGATGTCGCCCTCACGATGACTTCCACATATGTCCATCCGCAGAGCATGCAATCCACGTGTAGTATGATGAGCTCGACGAATAACGCCACTTGTAGGCACATTCTGCGAGCCTGAGACAGTAGCAGAACTGGCCTGTATGGGTCAGTCACCTCAAGTTAGTGAAGGGTTCTTCAGTCCATGTGATCAGCACCCAGGACAACTACAACTACAGTTTCACCGACAACACCAATGATAGCTACGGTCTCAATGCTTGGGTTGAGTCTGAGCTCCACATCATTGACTACAACTCTTCGGACCCTACCATTGTCAGCATCTCGGGCAACTGATTGGACTGGGCCATGATTTATCATGGAGCTCTCTCATGTCGGAGAGCACAGGGGGATGAAATGGATGCGAGTGACGATTTCGGCACAGCGACTTGATGTCAATTCATAGAATTTGATCAATGATACTTATTTGTCACAAATGCTAGTGTCCACTGGTCCGCTGAAGTCTTTTGGCTTTCTTCCCTCTGCGGAACTTTCCCAAGCCCTACTTTGAGGCAGGCTCCAGCCACACGATAGGTGACGTTGTGCTCGTCGTGATCATTGAGGTGCGACGTTCTCGGCTTGGAAACGGCGGTGATACTGAGTGAAACACTGTACAGCTCTTCTTATTCTTTCATATCCTTCCACTCAAACATCTCAGTCATCCTTTCGTTATACTCGTTTACTAAGCGTTGGCCACATTTGCTAGAAGTTTCATAGTTGGCATTGGGTTACGAAGCTTCAGAGGAATCAAAATAATTCTCGATGATGAGCTGATCTTGCGAATCCTGCATTTGACAATCATTGCCCAGAAATCTCCCCCCTGAGGATTCGTAGACTATAAATGCTCCAGCATAGGTTGAGGTTTCATAAGAAGTAAACATCTTTCTTTGTTAGAGCTTATAGATAAAACCTCCCATTGGCTCAATGCCTCGGCCAGCGCCTATTTCTCCTAACGCCAGGCCAAAGAACACACAACTAAGAACACCATGGTTCTTATATTTACAAATATGCTAGCCCAAATTTCAGCTGCATATTTCAAAAGAATACATACACAAACTTGGTTCTGGAGAACCTACCTTCATTCTTCTCCCAACTTCAGTCAAACAAGGACATTTACCGGGGGCAACAGCTCCAGTATCCGGTACACGGCGTACCCGCTGGTTTATCCTTGCACTGTGGCGAGTTATCCAAGAACTTGACCCTCTGACCAGCGGGGCATGACGCCGGCCAGTCGCAGGCCATGCGGTTGCTCGACATGACGCAGGTGGTCTTGATGCCCTCCGACTTGCGGCAACCATCGCCTGCGGGGATAGCTGTGACAGTGACGGCGAGCATCAGCGTCGCGAAGATTGATGAGAACTGCATTTTGGCTGCGTATGACGAAGCTCTTGATGGAAATTTTAACAGCAGAAATCCAGGATGGTGTTTAAGTACGTGGTTTGACAAGCGGCAAGAGATAAGTGCAGCAGGGTGCACTGAAGCCAAGAATTTGACTGCTTTATATACCAAAGATACCCTTGAGGCTCTTCTAATCATTCTTCTCTCAGATTCATGTCGCCAATTTGTTCGTGGATATGATGACCTGAATAGGAAATGGAGCTCAGACAATCCGTAAACTGTAAATCTCTCCTCGACAAGACTTCATCTTGTAGCATAGTGTCAAATACATAATCTGTGGCATCCGCATGCGTGAAATGGTTGTAATTAATACGAAATTACTGGCTGCGTCAGGTCGAAGCTTAACATCCACCAGTTCTTCAACAGCCGTGAAAACGCGACTCATGGCGATTTTCTACATGTAATCATCGGCCTCGGGGAACTACATCTCGGCGAATCCTAGCCATTTAGAGCTTGGTCAATACGCATTGCCACGTGGGAAAATCTGAAAACCTAATTAATTGCCAGGCACAACTACTTCGTACCCTCAGGCAACTCCGACACGGGCACGATCGACCCGAATCAAGTAATGAGCAGCATCAAATCAAAGCTGGTCCAAGCTTACAATTGAGTCGAGTCCGAAACCGAGCTTCGTATCCCATCGAGTGCTGTTGGGCTACAGATACATTGCTCCATTCTTTTACCCACTCTTAACCCCTCACATCAGGAATACATGACAGTACGTCATTTACCCCTAGGAATCCCTGGCTTCCCTTCACCACCAAAATCGCCTATCTACACATGCCAATTCGTCACGATGGCCTCGAGCGACGATAGTGACTCTGAAGGGTCTGTACATTCCTGTATCAACGTTGCGATACGTCCTGAAGCCCTCTGCTTGCTTGTCTTGTAACAACAAACGAATAGCATTAGGCGAAGTCACACGGAACTTGCGAAGAGATAGGAGAAAGAAGACGAGGTCAGGATGCAAGCAGTGTGGGGTTGCGATTTGTAACTCTGATGATTGCTGGTACCTCTATCACACTCAAAATATATAGGCAACCGAAGTACCTTTCAAATAGGGCCATTGATTGGTCGAGAAAACTCTTGGCTGCCCCTGAGTGGTCAGGATCCCTTCTGTGAATGTATCTGTAGCCCAACAGCACTCGATGGGATAGGGATCGGGCAGTCAAAGCAGTAAATCCACGACTCACCTTTGAGCTTGAAGATGAAGAACACGTCTCAAATCTGTGACCAGTTGAACAAGCCCTCACAGAGTTGAGAAGGCTCTCTAGAATGTTGAAGACTCTTGCAGATTTTCTGCTTGTAGAACTACCAGCGCCCGAGTTCGCTACCTAAGTCGTACGTCCCATGGCGTCAAGGACCGCCGGGCCGGGGCGGGACTTGAATCTACGAAATCAGCCTAGGCCAAACATTCACGAAGTTGACGGCTTCCAGTGGGTGGTATTCAAACGTTTCAAACCTCTTATCAGGCACTTGAAGATGAGTTCATTCGACTATTCGAACCTTCAAGTTCACTGCGTATACCACGCCTTCAGTGGTCCTCTAGGAATAGTGACGGCTCTTGGGACGAAGTAAGCCCTCGATCGGCTCGGGGTTTGTCAACCGTTTTTGAAAAGTTAGATTCTATAGAACAGTTGGAATATCTAGTCAATTCTTCCGCACCTTTTACGGAAAGTACCATGACAAAAAGTCAATACGCCTTTGGGCCTTCTATTCTGCGTAAAGTCGGTTGGCAGACATATTGATGGTTCATTTCAAGCCAGGTAGCCTACCTTACTCATCTCAAGATGGTAGTCCATGAGGAACACCTGCTACTCAAGCATCGTCCTTAATCTTAACCCCCAACCCACGATCAACAACAACAGTAGTCTTCTGCAAACTCCTCTTCACCGGCTTCTCATCACTAAAAATCTCCTCCAACTCCTCCAACGTCCTCTCCTTGGTCTCAACACAAGACAAATACATCAAGCCCAGATGCACAAAATGCAACACCAAGAAAATCGTATACGTCTTCCACCCAATATGCTTAATCGACACAGACGTCCCATACGTATTGATAAAACTCGCAACACCAGAGATGAACCCCTTGGCGCCCATCCCTTTTGCGCGAATCTCATTGTTCAGAATCTCGGCTGGGTACAGCGCCTGCAGCGGCGTCCAGCAGAAGCCCCAGAAGATGCCGTACGAGAAGATCATGGCGATGAAGGCGTAGGCTTGGGCTTTGGGTACTGTTGTGCCTTCATCGAGGTAGTGTTCTGCTTTTGCGGCGAGGATGTTGATAGGGATGTAGATGAGTCCCGTGAGGAGGGTGCCCCAGAGGAAGAGCGGTCTGCGACCGACTTTGTCGACGAAGAAGGAGCCGAAGATGCCGCTGACGAAGGAGATGACGGTGTTGATTCCGTTGAGGAGGAGTTGTCGGCTCGAGTCCGTGATACCGACGCCTCGCACCATGCTGCAAAAGTTCCCATTAGTAACATTCTACTTCATGCTGGAAATGTGTTACTGACGCAGGTAAATAGTACGATATCACTGATCCCCCAATAAACTGAGAAAAGACGGCGACAAGCATGATAAGCCACATGCGGTACCGGTTCGGTCTGTTGTTAATAAGGATCTTATAGTTCCAGTTATTATTCCTGAGCTCCTGCTCGGCCTCCAGCGACATCCGGATCTCATCGAGCTCGAGCTTGACAAGAGCCGAGTGCGGATTTTCGTTGCCGTGGTACTTTGTCAGGATCTCCGTCGCGCGATCAGTCTGTCCCTGCGACCACAGCCAGCGCGGGCTCTCCGGTAGGAACCACACGACCGAGATGACAATGGTAGCCGGGACGAGCTGGACGATGTAGGGAATACGCCACGCCCAGTCGTTGGAGATGAAGTTTGTGCCGTAGCATGTCCAAGCAGCCACTATCACCACAAGTCAGCTCCCCGTCTCAAACATCCATCCAAGTCACCCAAAAGAACATAGACTCACTATTCGCACCAATATACCACCCCAAAACATTATACAACCCTCCCGCCAACCCCCTCCACGTAGGATACGCAATCTCCACCAAGAAAACCGGCGCCGACGTCCCGCACATGGGCGTCCCCGTACCTACAATGAACCGCCCGATGAAAAACTGCGGCAGCTTGAAGCTGCTCGCCTGCAGCACGGAGCCGAGGACAATCATGGACGCGCCCGAAAACATGCAGGCGCGGCGGCCCCAGCGGTCCATAATGTACCCGCACAGAAGACTGCCGATGATGCTGCCGACGGTGTAGATGGAGAAGACGGCGCCGTTGAGTTCGCCCGTGAGGCCGATTTGGAAGCGGGATTGGAAGGGGTCCATTGCGTTTATGGCGGACATTACGGAGCCGTCGTAGCCGTTCATTATGCCGTCTTTGGCTGGTTAGCTAGGTGACTTTCTCGGTTTCACATATCTCATCTCGTTGGGAAGAGATGGGGAGGGTGTGTTTGGGGGACGCACTTAGAACGCAGAGACACATCATGGCATAGAGCGTCATCTGCGACTTTGACTTATAGTCGGGTTTGTCTTTGGCAATGGCATCGGCGAGGGCGACGGACTGGACGTTGAATTCTTTGGCGTGGCGGTGGGTTAAGGCGTTGTTCTTTTCGACGTCCAAGGCGGAGGTCGTCGCCTCGACGCGGTGCTCTGTCGCTTCATCGTGTTTCGCCATCTTCAAAGTTCCTACCACGTAACGAGTCCCGTAAGTAGTCACGAAAGCTCAACGGTATGGTTGTGGTCTCTTGCCGGACCAGACAGCGTGTAAGTGAGGTCCTCCCCCATCGACTTTATGTCAAGCACTCTACAGAAGATGCAGTCATCTCCCAGCCGTCGCCGAGACGGCGTTTCCCCCAAATAGACCTTTTGGGAATATCGGGCAGTCCAACCGATAGACGTAAAGTGATACGACACCCCCTGCTCCGTCCCTCACTCCAACAACATCCCATGTGGCCGCATGCACCCCTCATTCTCAATGCGGGGTGACGATCCAGACGACCAACGGTAGTAACGAGATGTACGAAAATCCCACGTTCACGCCAAGACGGCACTTCATATCACCGCGTCTTGCTGGAATACTAGGTCCATCAAGTTGGTAGCGTTACTCGATATGTCGACATGCGCAGCTGACCGTGGTAACATGCATTCATGTCCTAGGGTCCAAACAAACAGTTCGACAAACATCACCGCCAGACCTTCATTGGCGGAAAATACCACGTCGGAGTATGTTATGCAGATGGTAGCTTTTCCGTGCTTCGGTAGATACATTGTGAAGATTTACGTGAACTCATCCTTTTCGCAGACCACTTGAGGTCCTAACATATCCGTCCCCGTTCTGCGGACCCAGGGCCCAGGGCGCAGGAATATCGAAGCAAAGAATCCATAGTGGATGGCGAAAAGCCAAACAGGCTGGCTGTCATTACAGTGCTCACTTGAAGATGTAATATTGTGCAGTCAAAATTGAAAACGAGAGCAATTTCCCCTATATTTGTAGCCCAGAATATTTTAATATGCAGATTTGATCATCCCTTAAAACAAGAAAACGCCCGCGCCGCCGAGAATGCCATCCGCCTTGCCCCCAAGATAAGTTCCCCATCTAATCAGACGCGCGTTCATTCATGAGGTGTTTTGGTTGGTTCATTTCTGGATAGCCCAATATAATCTCTAGTGGTTTGAGTAAAAGAAATCCCAACTGCCTTCTCGGATGCCTTGCCTGCCCATGTCATGTCTACCTTGGAATAAACATTCTTTATCGTGTATCCCGTCTTTCAGAAATACCGGAAGAAAAATGCGAGAAAAAAAAAAGGACGAAATATCCTTAAACAACGTGCTTGACGCCGTTGGTCTGCTTGGAGGCTGCGAGCTCCTCCTTGACCACGCGGTCGAGGCATCCCGCGCTGGCGGCGACGAAGCCGAGGTAGGGTCTCTGTCCTGCTTGTCAGTATTACGCGGGGAGAAGGGATGTGGGGG